TATGGGTGAATTTGACTGCGACAATGTTTAAAAATTAGGAAGGGAAGCAGTGATTATTTGATTATATAGACGCTTCGCCTCTGCCCGCGAATGTATTCGGCAACCTGTGCATGTTAAAAAAAACTTGATTTTGGACAGATTTGCCTCCTGTTGTGTTGCATTCGGATGTAGTAGTTCTTCAACCGAAGAAGGGCATCCGTGACACGTGTGATGGTTCTACTGACAGTGGGCTGGCTCACCCCAATCAAGTCTCCGACTGCATTTTGAAACTTCTCAGTTGCGCAGTATCAGAATGTTATCAAAAGAGGAGTAGGCGCACCCTTTCGATCTATGTCAAATTCCAACGATTCTTCTATATCCTCCGCAAGTTGGAGAATATTTTGGCGGTAAAAGCTAAACTTCTTATACGCTCTTGCATTACTGAACACCTGAAAAGGGTTGGGCGCTCATATGACCTTATGCAGTTGCGAGAGCCGCGAAACCCTATACTATAAAAAAGGGTGTGTTCTATCTCTGAAAATGCAGAATCGCCGAATGTTAAGACGATTTCTCCGCTGCCTACGTCATTGTTTTGGCATTTAGACCCAGACTACGCTTGCTACGCCTGCTAGATCGCGGGTGTAAATTTCATCCGTTTAGTCTTTCGTTTTGTCCTTGACTTGGCACAGTCGGACTCCATGAATAGCTTACATCGTAATTTTGTCCGAGACAACTAAAATAGTCTCGGACTTTCGTCAAAGTCCCGGTCCATGAATCAGACCCCTGAACCCCTCACCGTCAGATAGGCTAGTCTCTTAACAACTGGCTGCAAACCAAACTCAAACTTTAAGCCTTATAAATCGACTACATGGAATATTACAACAAATTATCAGAAAGGCAAACTGAAAAAAACATAGTACAGGACATTGAGTGGATGACATTGGATATCATTATAGGGTCTTCATGAGATATATGGAAGGGGAAGGCTCTATTGAAATGGGGAGTAAGACTATGGAATATTCAGAAGGAAATTTTTCGAAAGAGTTCTAGGAAGTTTATTTGATGAAGCAATAGCAAAGAGCATCAAAGGTTCTCATTGAGTGTCATATATAGATCTAGTGAAGGCTGGAGACAGAATAAACTTGAGGCAACAGAAGTTATGCGGTTTATTTGGAGAATGCTAAGAATTTCAAGGAAAGTAAAGAAATCAGTTGTAGTAGTACTGAAAGAGACCAGCCTGGGATAGTCATTTTTAAACAATTAAAAAGGGGCTAAAACGTAGTCTACAGGACAGTTGAATAGGCCTTGGGCATATTCCTGTCCCTGGGAAGATAAAAGTGAAGAGAGTCAGAGTTACACCAAGAACAACATAATATATAGTGGACTCAAGCAGATGCGAGGCGGGACCAGAATAATATTATTCGAACCGCACAGGTTTTTGAGAGCATCTGAAATCTGAACAGAGAAATTGGTGGCGGCCTTTTATCGCGGACGTCTGCTTCAGACTTGGCTCTTGAAGAAGAAGAAGCAGAAGCAGAAGAAGCAGAAGCAGAAGAAGCAGAAGAAGCAGAAGAAGCAGAAGAAGCAGAAGAAGCAGAAGCAGAAGAAGAAGAAGAAGAAGAAGAAG